TATCCCCTGTGTGCCTTGTCGACTCAGTTATATATATTATATATATATATATGTATATAAATATATATATATATATCATACATCAAATATACGTATAAATATATATATATGTATGTACATAACATATATATGCAAAATTACAAATCGCTCAAACTATATATGAAGAAATATAGATTAAAACTTAGATTCTCGATCGTGTCAACTTTTAGCATTTCACAGTGCGCGAGAAATAAGCGAGACATGGATAAGAAACTGTATCGATAAATCACAATGATAGGTACATCTAATGCTTCCACAGATGCGAAAGGTTGTTGGTACAAAACATCGGATCGAGTTGTAAAAAAATGTACGTTCTTATTAAACGTGACCAATGACGAGAGGAAAACTTACTCATTCTCGAAAGTTACCAAAACTTCGTCGTCAAAGACATCGGTGACAAAGGCCTGAAAAAAAAGTTAGACACGACATATGTAATAAGTCGTCTTTGTAGGAATCAGGAGTGTAGCGAGTAGCGTAGGCTGTTGAATGTAAAATCGCGACTCGTCGGAGCGAAGGGGGAAGACGGGCGAGGTGGAAGGAGGTTGCGGGGAAGGCAACTATGAGCGTTTACGGGTTCGCGTATTGTGAATTTGGGATATTGCTGAGAAAGTTGACGAATTGATGATGGCATCGCGCGTGCAAACGCGCGACGACGCAAGCCAAGGAAAAATCACGCCCTGTCAAACGAGACATGGCGTCGAAGGAAGCCGCGTTACCTCGCGAACATTTGAGGGCCATGCATTCGCGAAGTACGGGCTCCTGTTAAGTGAGATTACGACCACGCCGCGGCTCGTGGCTTGGCCTATCCACCACCCGAAGCTTCTGCCCGCTTTTTTGTATACTTTTCACAGAACGAACCTTATAATACGCTCCGTTTTCGCCGCATACTTCGACTGTGAGATCCTCCATCTTGCTTTTGTGTGACGGTTCGGCTCCTTTGCGGCAGGCATGCCGAAGAGCGGGCGCTCGCACGAGTTCGGGGCTGCGAATTTCCCGTGCGCCAATCGCACGACTCTTTTCCATGACGCCGTGGTAGTATTGGGCAGCATCGAGGTAGTATCAACAGTGGTGTCAACTACCGCGAGCGCACATCGACCTCTCGTGAAGAAAAACCCTAACGATTTTTCTTCTCTCTCTCTCTCTCCACCAGTCTCACCTGCTTCAACTCGGCACTGCCAACTTTTAAAAAAAATATACATGTAATATGTATATGAAGGGCTGCGTTCAGAAATTCATGATTTATCATATTATCCTTGTTATTCACCAAATGTTAAACAAGGATAAAATGATATCTAGATGCACCTAGGCGAAGTTTCTGAACGCAGCCTAGTATCCTTTCTTTAATTTTATTCTTGGCTGCGTTCGGAAACGTCACCCTGAATGCCCCCATGTATTACTTATCCTTTTTGTGTTTACTAAATATTAAATAAGAATAAAATAATCCATTCAGATGGTATTTCCGAACGCAGCCCTAGCCGATGAAAATCGATCTAAATCGTTGAGAAAGAAATATTCCGTTTCAAATCTGAGGAGCAATAATGAACTTATACTTGGGTGTAGATAGGTGCAATCGAGCGCAGTCGCGGATGGTACACTCGTCTGCACTCTGCATTAGAGAGACCCAATGGCCTAGTTTACACCGAGCATTTGATACGCCAGAAAGAAGCATGACCAATCATAAGATTGAATCATTTGGCAGCCATTTATAATATTAATGAATCAATTTTATGATTGGCCATTTGTAAGTCCAATCAGAACTCATAAAGCCGGTATCAGACTACGCATTGGAGATTGAGATTAAGATTGAGATTAAGATTGAGATCGAAGCTCAGCCAATGAGAACACAGCAGACTGAGATTGAGATTGGAGTTTGGAAATTAGAATTCCGTCTATTTTTTCAATCTTCAATCTCAATCTTAGCCAATGGCTTGACGACTTTTTGGTCACGTGATGACTACTGACATTTTTACCGAGAATGATAAAGCAGGTAGAGGTTAAGTTCGTACAAAAATAAACGTGCAATTAAATTTAATGCACAGGTAAGTATTGTTATGAACAAAATTTAGTAAATTATCTTAATAATATATGCAAATATGTATATAAACCAAGCTGCTTTGTTTGCTGAACGCAGCAATATTGTCAATTGCAATGCAGATCACAATCTGTAATGTGATTGTACAATCTTCAATTTCAATCTTAATCTCAATCTTAATCTCAATCTCCAATGCGTAGTCTGATACCGGCTTTAGATAGCGCTACAGTTCTCTCAACTGGTTTCTGAACGGCGTTTGAGAGATTGGGTGCTCCCGGGTGTCGTTTCTGAACGCAGCCCATGCCTATCTGACGGCGCCACCTATCCCCTCCACTTGCAACCAGTGGCTGTTAAAGATTTTCGTGATATCCCTGGTCCGAACACTCCGAACAGTTAGAAGGGCGAAGGCTCTGAAATCTCTTCCTTAGAGTTTTTTAGGTATATTGCGCGATGTTTTTTTCACATGCTTTCACACGTTAATTAATTTATAACAATATCAAATTTTTTCTTCGTTTGAAACTATACTTCTAACAGTAAAATGGCATCACTCGCCCGCGTTGGTATCGCGAGGTTTGGATACAATAACTTTACTAGGCAATTATGTAAGGTTAGTATTAAATGTTAACAGATTTTATTTTTTTGGCATTTAAATACATTCTATGAAATAAACATATTGATAACTAAATTAATCGTCATTACAAATGAGATTCATCATAAACATCTCTCCCTAATATAAAGAAACTGTTATCGATATTATTATGAATAATATATATAAATATTTATGTATATAGGGTGGGCCGGAAAAATAGAAAATTTTCTCTGCACGTAATTATAAATTAATTGAGCAACGTTCAATTTTTTAATTATTTTATCTATTTAAATTTTCTCGTTTCTTTGGTTCATCATATATGAATATAAATTCTGTCGGAATGAAATATCACTGTTTATATTTTATATTTTAAATATCACTTTATACGGTAAAAAACATTTTGTATATGTGTATAAACGGTTTACACAAATTATTTATGTTGAATTTTTTACATATCCAAGTGTAAATTAATTTAACATAATGTAATTATATTATTTAAATATTTTGTATTAAATTGATATTTAATCAATTACCAAACATTTCCTAATGTTAAAATAACAATTTATGAATAAGTGAATAAATAACGATAATTGTAGTTTTAAAATGCAAATTCTAAGATAAATGAATAAAAGGTGAATGTATGTGTTAATTTAATATTATATTTTATGTTTAGTTTTAGTTTATTTAATATTATATTATACAAGGTGTGATAAAAAAATGTGATGAATGTTGAAATAAAAAGAAATCTATTATATTAAAAGTCAAATTACAATTAGTCCCCTTCAAAATACTCCACTTCACTTCTACACTTATGCCATCGTTCTTGTCACTTGCTGAAGCAGTACTGGAAGTTCTCTTTCATAAGTGTCTTTAATTGCGCTATTGTGGCTGCCTCGACGTTTTGAATTGATTCAAAATGTTTACAGAACTCTGAATATTATAAAGGCTTATTAGAGCGTTTAGAGAAACAAAGAATATGTGCAGAAAAAGAGAAATGAACAAACCGTTTCATCCTCCATCATGACAACTCTCTGTATCACACATTGCTTCTGGTACGGCACTTTCTGTTAAATAAAAACGTTACGGTGTGTCTTCAGCCACCATATTCACCGGATTTGGCACTGAGCGACTTCTGGCTTTTTCCCAAAATCAAAATGACCATGAAAGGTAAACGTTTTTTTAATCAACTCAAGACATCGCAGCCTCGTGGACGATAGTGCAACTAAACTTATGAAAGATTTCCAGTACTGCTTTAGCAAGTGGCAAGAACGATGGGATAAGGTATTAGAAGCTGAAGGGAGTATTTTGAAGTGGGCTAATGTTGTCATTTGTCTTTTAATGTAATAAGTTTTCGTTTTACTTCAACATTCACTGTAGTTTTTAATCATCCCTCGTAAATGTTGTTTTTTTACTGTAGAAATATATTTCCACGGTTCATATGGATACAGGTAACAGCTACCAGTAATGTGACGCAACTAGCCTTCATTACGCAAAAGGCGAAACGATTGAATCGACGACGGATTCCGCCATTTGATTATCTGCACAAGAAATATGGCTTTTGGGCGCAGCTGTTTGACCCGATGGTCGATCGATGCGATGAGAATTCCAAGATCATCGTCGTCGACGGTCCGATTGCTGCAGGAAAGTCTAAAGTGGCCGCAAAGTTAGCGGAGGAGTTCGAGATGGTCTATCTACCGCCGCCGACCTTCGACGAATATTACATAAATGAATATGGATATGATATACGTACACTGGACGACCGACTGTCCGAGGGCTCACAGTCATGTGACGTGCAGAAATTTCTAACAAATCCGTATCATACCAATGTGCCCATGTTTCAATTTCATTATTTCCAAATTAAATTCGATCAGTATATCACCGCACTGCTGCACTTGCTATCGACCGGCCAAGGAGTGGTGCTTAACCGTTCTTTCTATTCCGATTATGTGTTCGCAAGGGCGATGACGAATGCTGGTTACATGCGTCCAGAAGCATTGAAATTTTACAACGATGTCGTAAACATCGCCAAGTTGGAGATGCTAAGGCCTCATTTGATTGTTTATTTGGACATACCTGTAGATGCAGTTAAGGTAATTTTACTTTTATTTAGCATAGACGACTGTACCCGCGACTCTACTTATTCTGTCTCTTTCGCGAATTTATACAGGATACTCAGAACCTACAAAGATAAACTTTAGGAGATGATAAATTTCACCAAAAAAGAATCAACTTTTGTTAAGAAACCCATGTTTTTTGACATATTTTTAAGGAGTTAAGCGTCCTTGGCTGTGAAGTACGCAATCAATAGCACGGCAGCATTGCGTGTGACGTCTGACAATATTTTACAATAGTTTTCACATTTTTGCCTTTTTTTTCAAAAACAAAATCAAAGAACGTGAACTAGTATTGTCAGATATATATATCAGGCGCGATCAGATGCATTGCTCTTTAAAAATGCATCGGAGAACACAGATATTTTGAAAAGTTATTCTTTTGACGAGATCTACTATTCCCTAAAGTTTGTCCTACAGGTTTGTCCTGAAAGAATATTTTTGTCATTTTTTCTAATGTGTCAATATTTCTAGGAGAAAATAAAAAAACGAGGCATACCATATGAAGTGAATTCAAAAGTTCTCTCCTCAGAGTACCTTCAAGATATTGAAAATATATACAAGTTGGATTATCTGAAAAATATTGTATCACATTCTCATGTGCTAGTCTATGACTGGATGAACGAGGGAGACATTTCTTCTATGATCGAGGATATCGAAGCACTGAATTTTGATTATGATAAGCCGATTAAGAAAATATCCGATTGGAGATTCGAAAGCGTTCAAGATCTTCGAACTAAAAGGAAACATTGTGAAAATAGATATTATCTACATTTAGATTATTGGAGAAACGAATATTCAGTACCAGAATTGCACTACACAGCTGCACAAGATGAGGAAATACATGAAGCAATGAAAATGGTATGTGTGTCTTGATTATACATTGTATATTTAAGTTTGCAGTAGAATTTTTGTAAACTTATTATATTCGATTAGTTATTCTTCAATTGTAATAGCTCAATACAATAGTCAACAAGATAATAAATCGAACGACAAAAGAACTAAGTTACAGGAAGCAGCCAAAAGATTTGATTCTCCTTTAAGGGATTGTTATATGTAATTATTATCTCGTTATAGGTACCTGGATTTACGTACGCTAAAGGATTTAATCGTATGCTGGGAGATAAAAATATTTTGTGGAAAAAAGATCCAGCTTTTTATTTAAAAACCTTAAGACCCACTGCACGCGAGGTAGATGTGGTAGCTGAAGAAATGAAGAAACTCAAGGTTGCGTCGATGTAGTGAGAGCGAAAAAATATATATCTAGAAAAGAAGTAGAACTTGTAAAATAATAATTGAAGTAAGAAATAAATTTTACTTTTAACCGGGAAATGCCTCCACTTTCAAACCGAATTAATTTCCTTCATTTCAGTGCTATATTTCGTGATAAAAATATTAAGTATTTTAATTTATATTAAAGCTCCTAGACTATAAAAGTACAGGATTATATGAAAGAATAATACTATATTTTTAGAAATGAGTCTAGGGTATAAAAGTTTGTGTTGAAAAATTTGTGTATACGTATGCAACATTATTGATTGAAGTAATAAATATCAACACCACTTCATACAACTATATTAATATCGCATACATATGCACAAAACAGTCATCGATGTTGAAGGTTGGAGGGTATAGAAGTGGCAATAAAATTCCGTATATCTATTAGCGAATTTGATTGGACGCATTAGTACGCACTCAGTGCACATTAATGCCATTGTACATATAGTTCTAATCTCAATTTAAAAATAAAATATCTCAAATAATATAATAATTAATATTAATATTAATATTAATGATTTAATCCATTTCTATATTTAAACATAGATCTTTACGTCGATTTGTATAACGATTTTAATGTGCACTGAGTGCGTCCAATCGAATTCGCTATGGCTGAGTTCACTTTGGCGCTCACAACATCATTTCATCCTTGTTTATCAAATGTTAAACAAGGACAAATGATGCTTGTAAGCGCCAAACCGAACGCAGCCTGTGTTATGTTTTATATACAGGGTGTCGACGAAATCTCTTATCACCCTTATATTTTGGAAACGATTTAAAATTATAAAAAAAAGCGAAAAACGTATTTAACCGTTTCGAGGAGCTATTCTTTAAGAGGGTAGAATGTTGCCTCCTTCTTCCTTCAATGTGCTGCTCCAGGAAAGCCCCACTTGAAAAATTTTAAATGAAACTCCCCATTTTTTATTGCGTATTCTTACTGTTTATCTCGAGAGCTTTTCAAAACACTGTAATAAAATATTTTTCCATTAAGCATTTTTTGAGTTATAAAGTGAGCTTGAAAGTTACAGTATCGCTAGCATTAGCATTATTCAAGGTGTTCGAATAATGGCTAAAACTTTGAATGTTGTTTAGTATCATAAGACAATTGACAAATTAAAATATGTTAAGTTCATGATCATTGGAAATTGTTTTTCTTTAAAAAAAAAATACAATTTTTAAAAATGAAAATAAGAGCAACAAAGGATAAACTGTAGAATTCGTGGAAAGTAAAAATATATTGTTAACGCGGCGTGTACGAGTCAGCGCGGTAAATGATGCGCAATGAAAAATAATTTCAACAAATAATGTTTATAATTTCGTATATTTGTAAACGTTTCGGCTCTCCTTTCGAGCCATCTTCAAGTACATCAGCATGAAAAGGTTGATCAAATAAAGTCGATGTCAATCTTGGGGTAAGAACCTCCTTGCTAATGAAGAAGTAACAATATATACGAGCTGTAAGACTCGGATATAGTGAGCATATTCTCCACTCAAGATCGGTAGTCTTAATAACAAATAGTCTCAAGAACAAATTCCATATTGTCACAAAAATTTGTTCAAAGAACGATACATGTGGTATAAAGAGACGAGAAAGACAGGTCCTAACAGTATAAATGTCAAACGTAAAATCCAAGAGCAACAACCTTTAATGGTCTTGATTTTGACATATGTTGTCAAGGTCATGACCTTGAACAACATTCAAATTTCAGTCATTGTTCGGACACCTTGGATAATGCTAATACCGACGATGCTGAAACTTTTAAGCCTTATAACTTGAAAAGTATTTAATGAAAAAATATTGTATTATAGTGTTTGAAAAGCTCTCGAAATGAGTTACAAGAATATGCAATAAAAAATGGAGGGAGTCCATTAAAAATTTATCAGGTAGGGCTCCTCTGAAGCAGTATATTGGGGAGAGGGGGGGTGTAACATTCTCCCCCTTAAAAGAATAGCCTCTCGAAATGATTGAATACATATATTTCGTGATTTTTCATAATTTTGAATCGTTTTCAAAATATAAAGGTGGTAAGAGACTTTGTGGATTACACGCACGGACTATACGTACATACACGCACGCACACACATACACACATACACGAGATGTATCGAAAGTTCAGAGAATCGCGTGAGCTATAAATTGATAGATAAAAGAACTCAAAAGTTTTTGAAAGATGGTCTAAAGAAGAAAAATGATTTCACGCTGAAATAAGTATGTTTGGTTAAAATGGGAACTGTATTGAAAACTACAATCAATCTAATCAATAAAATATAAGAGCACAATTTTCAAAATTATCGTCGTGTGTGTATGTATACGTGTGCGTGCGTATATATGTGCATGTATAAAATAAACATTTTTAAATAGTTATTTAACTACTTCACAACTGTGAATTGTACTATATATGAATTATTTCCTTTTTATGAATACATCATATAACATTAACATTTGAAAATATATTAATATATTTTTACTGGCTCATTATACTTTTCAACATACATAGTATATAAAGATTATAATTGTCACTTAATTATTATACATAGAATATATTTTCTTTCTGTCAAGACACATTATTTACTTATGTTGAAGTTCAAATGACAAATAATCATAAGCTTTATCGTCTTGATCAATTAGATGAAATACGTAATTAACATCGAGATAATCATTTAGGTATAAGTCATAAATAGTTATTCATATTAAAATGGATAAGGACTGGTTTGCGTATGTATGTTAAATAAACTGTTAGACAATCTTTTTGGAAAATCTGTGCAATATTTTCCCATTTAAATATAATATGGATGACTTTCTCTCACAACGTAACTATAAAATCGCACAGTTATAAAACATAAAATTATTTCTAGTGATTATAAAAATTCTGTTTGTCAAAAAGGCTTTTTGATTACTTCATGCTGACCATATTAAACTGGAATCTAATAGTTTGAACAGAAATACATCGTTCGTTCCAATTGCAGTTACTCTTATCGCGTTGCATCTATCGATCCGCGAACCTGTTATGATAAACCTCCTCGCATTGCACTTACGTCTTTTTGCCATAAAAAGGACACGATTATAACATTCGGAATGTGTTTAAGGCGATACTTTGACACTGTGGAAACTCCATTATGGTTGTTTCCTCTCGCGCGAAACTCATCTCGGAAGTGATTCTCGTTACACAATTGCTTAGGACCGTTTCTCGCGAGTAAACGAATGAATTCTACGGGCATGTAACAATCTTTGTAAAAAATTCCACTTTAACTGGGAGGAACCGGCAGTGGTTTGCTTTTTGCCCATTATTTAACTTTTAACTAGAAATTCATTAAATTTATATATATGTTCCATTGAAAAATCTAGGTAGATCGATCTCTTCCGTATCTCTTCCGATCTCTCCGTTATCTCCCTCTTCGTTTGCTAAATCTTTTTATGCTTCGCTTCCCTCCCAACTCTCGCAAATCAATCTTTTTATGAGTCATAAATATTCATTTGCGTTTCTATGTCGCAATGATTATAAAGTCACATTTATCGAAATATTTGAAGCGGCAAAACGCGCTAAAAAGGAAAAAAAGGAAAGAAATGTTTTAAGGAGCTAAACTACAGCAGGAATTGGTTTTCCGTGCGGTCTTGTAAAACGCCTTCGACTGAGCACTGAGTCCCTCTGACTTAGAGACTAGATCATCCAGCTTCTCTCCCCTTTGTAGCACTGCCTCTAAGGTATTGTGCTGGTAAAAAGTATCACAAAAAATTCTAAATACTCGTATAGTATTTGTATCACATATATGAATGAATATTTCAACAAATTAAGTAAATCGCTCCCATATGCAATTTCTTAACCCTTTGTGTCACGAATTTTTGTATCAGATCGATTCTTTTGATACTTTGTACCGGGTGATTTTTCGAGTCACTGATTACGAATCAGAAATCAAAATTTTAAAATTAAAAATGGTGAATCAATCATTCAAATAATTTCAGTAAAACATTTAATATTTCATTTATAAAAATTAATTATTTAGCAAGAAACAGATTCAGATGCAGCAACCAAAATTCCCAGAAATTTAAGACTATTATTGGGTTTTTGATCTATCATACTAGTTCTACCATTTTGAATTTAATTTGTAAATTTTGACCTTACATATGAGGATTTAATAATCCAAAAAACCTCTAGAATACCATTATAAGAAATATTCAAACTATTTATTTGGATTTACAGTAGAAAATATCGATTTTTCCATATTTTTCAGAGAGATTCAATCAATATTTATAATAAAAAAACAACATAGTAAAAAAATTTTAGGATGTCTTAAATGAGTCCTAAATTGCCATTTTAATATTAATAACAGTTTAGAAGAAAATGCATTTTTTACTACTTATTTAGTATATATACTAATTACGCAAATAAAAATTTATGATTGCCTACTTTTTTAAATGCTTATTCATGTTCTAAGAAACTCTACGAAAATAAAAAAAACCGGTACTTGACATCAAGAAATTCATCAAAATAATGAAAAATTGAACGGAAAAAGATGGGACGATGAGCGTGACGCAAAGGGTTCAGCAAACAAAAGAGGAAAAATGGGTTGGCTCTTACCAAAATAATTTTCGTCTCATCTAGATCATTTTGCATTTTTGTAAGCGCGTCCGCCTCAACTGGATTCTGATACTTGGCTAAATACGTGTTGATTTGTGAAAAATCGGCGGTGACCTCTTTAAGTGTGGGCCACGTTGATGGTGGATTCTTTGCCGTGAACTCTTCCATCACCTTTGTAATTAAAGTATGTGCTACTCTCCTAGGGTATTCGTGATCTGAGATGAGAACTGCGGCGAGATTGTCGGCTCGTACATACACGTGACACATGTATTCTGTGAAAGATCAAATGTCGTAATTATATTGTATGCAGTAATATAAAAAAAATTTATCAAAAAGTGAAGTAATGCCTATCGAGCGGGTGTCGGTGTGTATTAATTTTTTAAAATTTTACAATATCCAATCACATACAAACTGCTCGCCGCAATATTTGTCAGCGCGCAGTTTGTATGTGGTATAGGATATTGTAAAAATTAATGCACACCAACACCCATGTCGACTTGATAGGCATTACTTCAGTATATACATATATTTGATTTATTCTTATGAGCCTAAGTCCTTCAAATTATAAAAAATTTATTTTGAATTATAAGTCTATTACGCTTACCTCCTTCTTTGACGCTTTGCCTGGCACACGTTTGTGTTCTTTCCACAATGGTTTTACTGACAAAACACATGAACTCTTTAATACTGTTCTTTTGAAAAAATGAGAACGATTCTACATCGTAAGCGGCTTTCAGTGTCGTTGCTGACGGAGGACTTTTGTACAGAACAGTCAATGCATATAATTTCACCATTTTTAACTGCAAAAACAATATTAAACTTTATACTAAAATACATATATGTTATAATTTCAAAAAATTTTTCTGGCTTAAAAAATATATATATATGTATATATAGGGTGTCTCGAATTTAAATGTCAAAATAGAGGCCAACATTTTGAACAATTATATCTACTCTAAACAAGTGACAACGTGAATAAATAAGTGTAAATGAATAAGTAATAAATAACTACAAAAATGAAAACTACAATTTTTTGCGATTTTCAAAACAAAGAAAAAACAAGCATATCTCTAAATTTCTTTTTTTTCTTAGTTTATTGATCCCTACAGGCTTCCAAAGTTTTGACATTTAAATTCAGAACACCCTGTATATATATGTTATATGGATATTATCTATATATTTTAAATTATTAAGTGACAATTAATATATTAGCAGAATAATTAACTTTATAGGATAAAGCTTTGTACACATACATACACACATGTATGCATGCATACATGCATGCATACCCACACACAACACTGAACACACATACACAATGCTTTTATTATTATATTATTTAAATCTTTTAATGGAGGATTGTTCTTTGTTGCTGCATTAAAACTTTCTTGTTTTCATTAAACTTCAAATATATATCTATAGTTGCCTTTACAGAAAGCGTGCTATCACAACTATTGTATCATTCTATCCTTGTTTTACATTTAATGAACGATAAAGATAAAATGACGCAATAACATTCTATGATAGCATTCTCTCCAATATAGTCCATTTCACTTTCAGTATGAGTGTATACTAGTTAAATTTTAAAAGTACAGTTCTTTATAAAGAATACAGATTTTTGAAGTTATAAATAAAGCAAGAGTTGTCAAATAGTTAAATTTAATCCTAAGAGAATAAAAATTGCTTATAAACAAATCTTGTAGATTATTACGTACTTGTTATAATTTATCATTTAATTTTTAAATGTAATTTACAATACATAAAATTTATAAAAACCAGTTTTATAGACTTGAAAGCAAGAAAATATTTTTGTAGCCGATTCCAAAATATAATAATGATAAATTTGTATCCGTTTTGTATATATGAACAGAAAAAAGTCTCAGGAACAGTTGTCTAACGTACAATTTTTTTTACAGTATTTATATCGTAACGACTTGCGAGATCTTTGGTTATCGTCGCGAACCCTAGCGAGTCCTGCCACTCGTGCGATGTGACTATCAGCAGGATGCTTACTCGCCGTGGTGATTCACTGGAAAATCATCTTATATTTTCACAACGTATACAACCACCTCGAACCTGCGAGGTACAAAAACTGCCATGTTGATCATGTTGTATGTTGGGCTATGATAGGCCAACACATGGGCATAAGGGTGCGTTCCCACCAGTGAGATATACATATATATCTCACTGGTTCCAACTGAGCGCGTCACACGTCGCGTTATCCGAATTGACCAATCAAAACATCCTATTTTATTGCATAATTTGCCACGCGATCCGGGATTCATAAGGCCGAAGCACAAACCATGAAGTATGAATAAGGAGACTGGAGACGTAACTCCATAGATTGGAAGTGAG